GCAACATGTGGAGTATTTTTAAAAAAGCGCTTCTACTTTGTCAGAAGTTACTCATGAATGACGAGAGGGCATAGCTCTGGAAGCCTGGCTGTCTTCCCCCCCTCCGCCCTTCCACCTCCCAACAAAACCAAACATGTAGCTGCCTGTATGCATGGAGAGTAGCCAGCTATAGGTGATAGGAAGGGAGTTAACATCAGTGCAGACATGCACTACTTCACCTAGCAATCTCCATCTAAACCAGGGATTGCAGCTCTAATTAATGGTCCCTAGATGTTTCTTCATATGTTCGTTTTGTAAGAATCCTGGAGAATTGCTTCCACATTATTATTCTGCATAGCAGTAGACAATTGGTGGAATTTGTCTCGGTGTGTCTCTAATGTTTTCAAGTTCTCCTGTTAAGATAAAAAGATTACTTAAGTGTCCACGCAGGGACTAACTCGAGTAGGTCAGCCAAAGTCTGAAGTGTGGCAATACCGCTAGCCCATCATAGCTAGTATTTGCCTAAGTGCCTGATGTTTTCCAACACATGACCCTCCTAAAAATTACAGTGGCATTACCAAGTGTTTGCAGTTCCAGTTTTAAGACTGCCTGTTACAACTAGAAGCTTTCACAAAGCTGCGCAGCTCTCACTGCAGCCGTACAACTAGCCTGCACGCCGTGCTTACCTCCCTTCATGGGAACCATGTGCTCAGCCAGTTTAAAACCATCCACTATGCGGCACTACTGATTGACGTTGATGGAATAAGGTCTTCAAGCTAGAAGACCGATTTGTCACCTAGCACCCTCACACAGTGCAGCAAGGTGTCTGTCACAGTTTCTGCAGCACTTGGGAGAACTTGACGAGTGCCCAGGACACCCACATTTTTCAGTTCAGGCTACGCTCTTTCATTAATGCTCACATTAAAGCTCTCTTCAAACTCCTGAGAGAAGCCCCCTACAAATGTGAAATCTAAAAGGAAGGAGAAAAAGGGTGTCATATGCTTACTTAAAAAGTTGGCCTTCAGAGAGTAAAATGAAAACTCTGAGGAAGGATGAGTGGCATTCTGCAATACACAGGGTTTTCAGAGAGGAGTGGAACTACCTACCATTCCAGTCTCCGAGTCCCCACCGAGCAATTAATCTGTAAGCCAGAAACCCATTCTGCCTCATATTTAGTACAGCCATACTCCTCGTCAAGTAATTCCTGCAAGCTTGTGGTCTGTTTACTCTGCTGGTCCAAAAATGGTCAAATACAGTTGAAGCATTAAGTGTTCCATCTTTAAAATCAGTTCAGTAACAATAAGCACCTGGTTTATTTCTTTCCTGCTTCTCTGCTAGATCAAATATCCATACTTGAACACCTTCATCTTACCACTTTATTACTGTATTTTGAATTGTCTTGATGTTTGAACCACTTTGTCTCTTCCATCTTAAAATATAATTCTGCTGGACACTGATCTCGGTTCACATCGCAACATACTTACTACAGAGATTTTTTTTTTTTTTTTTTTAAATGGTGCAACTGCTTATCAGACTTGGGAATTTGCAACTTGATTAAAATTAGGGTTATGTCTAGTGCTGATGATAAAAAAAAAAATTTAAATACTTTTGTCCATTGTTCTGTGTTTGTACAATTGCAAGTAGCACACCACCCCCCTACAGAAAGGGGCAGAAGCCTGACGCTTAAAAAAAAACTAAAGCAATACAATAAACCCCCCAAAACCCCGCATACCTTTTTGTATGCAAACTGCACAAAGCAATAGGGAAACACCTTACTGCTCTGCGACCACTGTTCTTCACAGGGCCTGTCTGAAGATCAGAAGAAAATGCAGGCGAGTCAGTCAGGTACCAGAGCTTTTCACTCTTCCTTTACCAGGTCACAGCATCCTTAAAAATACAGGTGTCTGAGCATAGGGGTCTCAAAGTCTACTGCAAGTAGTTTTGGAAATAAAATTAAACCTGCTTTACATCACCAGTATAGTTCATATGATACTTACATGGGCCTGTGTTAAATTATTTGGAATTGGTATTGTCTTACTATAACTCCACCATATGTCTAGTACTGCCCTCGTCTTTTTCCAGCTGTAAAAACGTGACAGTGCATCACAGCTAATTTGGGAGTTTGCTTTCTTCAACAGGGCTAGTTCACATAAGAGGAAAACTAATCAGTTGTAAACCCACAAAACTGGCAGGGAGACTTAAAATGATCAAATTTTTAAAATATTTAAAACAAACCAAACAGTGGGAGTTTACATATGAGTTACTAGAATTTAGTCCAACTCTCCACATACCCAAATACATATTCATCAGCTTGCCATATGCTCACTTAAATGTGCAAAGCAACAACCTCCTCCTGCCCCAAAAGCTGTCTTCCATTTCTGTTAAATGGAATTAGTGCTTTCTTAAATTAAAAATCGTCAGATCAGTGGGTTGGGTGAAGTTTTGAAATGTTCCAAGTTTGCATTCAAGTGCTTTTTTTTTTTTGTGTGTGTCATTTCACATACTTATTTGAGGACTTTGGTCCTTCCTTTCTGCAATTTTATGGTTTTACATAACAAATGCACACAGAACACCAGAACCTCTTTACTACAGCTACTTCTGCATGTAATTTGCTGTCACTGTGATGAAAAGCTTTCACTTCTGAAAATGGAAAAAGCACTGTAAGCCACCAGTGGCATGGATTTAAATGACTTTTCCATCCCGAGTCAAAATTTGATTGTATGCTTCAGACCAACAGATGCTTCACAAGCCAGCTAGCTCCCAAGTGACTTCAAATCTGGGGACTTCCTTTTCAAATGTTACGGTTTGGCCACAGCAACGAGCGAGTGGATTGGAAATGCTGCCTGCAGCAAGCTCTCCTCTCTCAGGTATCAGCAGTTCTTCTGAAGTTCCTCTCGGCAAGCATCGCTGCTCTCTTCTCCAGCACGGGAAGCAGCACAGGAGATAAACCAAGAATCAAAGGCGAAGCCCAGAAATTCGCAGGCACTGCGTAGAGAAGCTTAATTTTAAGTTCCCCTGTCACAGAGGACAGGCTGACCAGGAAACTTTTGACACAAGCAGTCAAACCACAGGAACCCACCGTAGCTTAGGGTAACTTAAGTCCTTCAGGTTTTAACATCTAAGAGAATACATCGAAGCAGTCCACAGAGGATGTTTGATTTTTTCCTGAATGGAGGACGATGAACCTCAAATTAATTGTTTGTATTTGGAATGACCTTTGCACGTGATCAAGAAATTAAAACTGAGTAAAAAATTTTGTGCCAAATACTGAAAGGAGATTTGTAAGTGAAACCAATTTCGAACAAAAATAAATTTATTTAAAATCTTACATAGTAGAATTTCTTCATTGCACAGATCAAAGTATTAATCATGTTGATGTCCATCGGATAATACATTACTTGATAAAAACCCCTCTGTACTGTTGAGGTGGGGAACCCCCAAAAGTAAGCTACATTAGAACTAGACACCATACAGCTTATGCAGCCACATGAGAAATGTTTTCTGCTGCTTTGTTATTACACAGGTAGTTGGTTCTGTCAGCTAAAGCCTAGTGACTTGGATTTGTTTTATGCATATTGGGTTTTGTTCTATTACTTTCCAAGAGATTGTGCTCCCCTGAGTCAGCTGTGTTCATTGGTCAGAATAAATTCCAGCATCTGACACCATTTCCATTAATCACAGACAAGCCAGTATACGTGAGCAAGATAATAGAAAGATAAAAACAATATCTGGTGAATGGAAAACATTATTTATGTATGCTGTTCACTAATACAGTAGAAGGTATCTGGAAGGCATTTTTTCAACTTTGATAGACAAACTGAAAGAGGAGGAGATGAGCATCATATGAAGTACTTACTCCACGGGGAAGAAAGTGTCTGGAACCACACAGGTCAGGTAGCACCGTGGTAACACTTTCACAGTTCATCATTACTACGGCAATGCTACAGTCAGAGAGCTTCCTCATGTATTTGCAAGCAATTTTAAGACAATTTGCTACTAAAAAGCTGATAAATTAATTTTTATTACACTGATCTTCAGCTGGACTTCTGAGGTTGAATACTTCACCCACCCACCCACATATCTGTAAATATGTATTTAGTATTGAGTATCTTCCCACCCATTACAAGTTAGGTATCATGGATCTAAAATACAAAGCATTTTTCTTCAACGTATTGAGCACAGGCATTTCACTTAACCCTGTTGTATTAAGCCAGATATGAAGCAGAGCAGTTTTAAAAAAAAAAAAAAAAAAGGCATAAATTGTATTTTTCTAAAACCAGTTCTTGGCCTTAAGAGGAAAAAAAAAAATAGTTCTTAGACACCCATAATCTAATAAAGCAGGCAGCTGCAATTCAGATAACTCTAGTTCTTAGTGGCATACTAAAGATACCAGAAAAATAATTCTTATATATATCAACAATGCTACAACACCTAGTCTGATTAAATTAAGGCTTTGTTTCTTTAATAAAAGAAAAGTTAGTAGCCTTCACCACCACACAAATACAAAGTCAAGGTTCTGGTGCTGCGCAAAGGAGGCACAATAAGGGTAACTGCGCTGTGAACAGGATGATCCCATGGCAGGCACCACTGCGCGCAGAATTAAGTTGGTTTCCTACAGCATGAACTGAGGGAAACAAGCTGAACATCCAGGATTCACAGTGTTCAGCAACATTACCTATGATCTTTTATAATTCACAGTAAGGCCCAAAATGGTGCAATCTAAACAGGATAGCCTAGGAGTGGTTTTTCTCTTGCCACTATCTAATATAAATCAAGATTTTGACCAAAAAAAAAAGAAGTCTTACCTTTCTTGGTTAAAAATTACATAAAAATGCATTTCTAAACCAGAGTAATCAGAAAGTTAATTGAAAGGAGGAAGGGAGAGAGAATCCAATTCTTCATTTTATGTCTTACTCGAAAAAAAAACCACTGTCAAGAAACAAGCTCAGAGCTGGTACAAGTTTTAACACAGGATACTAAGTATTTTCTTGATAACATACAAATAGCAAGCAAATACAGAACTGGATTACTTTGTTTTATTCCAAGAACTCACTTTTCAGTGTAATCTTTTGCAAATATATGCCATTTGCAGTACAAGACTATCTAGGCCCCACATCAGATTTCTTTATATTTACATTATACCAGCACAGCTTTAACTTCACGGAACTTGCTCCTGATTTACAGCAGAGGAAGACTAGGCTTTCTGTTTCAGAACTAGAATGAAAAATAAAGAACATTTCAGGCAATCTGTTTTCCCTCTTTAAAAGTTCAAGCATTAAGGTGCCTATTCAGAACCATTCTAAAAAAGCCTCAGTTCATTCTAAAAATTGTTTAACTCTTGTGCAGACAGTTTTGATTACACTGATCCAAGTAATCTGGACAGTTTAACAAGGTGGCTTTATTTTTCATTTCCCAAAACACATTCTCATTAGGCTTTGGAGGACTTGGGAATACCCAGGAATTATCTTCCAGAGAGCTCTTTCCATAAGAATGATGTTCCTGAAATGTTTTGCCATCAACTGGAATGGGTCGCTCATCTGTCCATGCTTGTAGAGTCACCCTTTCAGATGGGCTGTTTACCTCTCTTGGCAGAGGGGGAGACACAGCATTGCAGAGTACTTTATCATTTTGTGAGAGTTTTTTATAGACTACCCCAGATGTCAAATTCAGCTTTGAAATGTTCAAGTCAACACATTGTACTGGTGCAGCAGAGGCAGCTGAAGAAAGAAGATAAAACAGATTTTAAAATTACATCACTGAACGCATCTTTTTCATATACTCCAAATGTACTACAGTATAGCAGGTATGTTAAATGCAGTGTTGTCAAGCTACAGATTCTCAGACCGTATTTTACTTCAATAGCTACTTAAAAGTTATGAACTGAACATACTAACTTCCTCAGTCTGATTCTTCAAGATGAACTAGAGATCCTGAAATTGCAATGTTTAAAATACACCCAACACCAAGGAAACTTCCCAGTTCCCACTTGAACACAAATAAACTGATGATCTTTTTGACAAGACTGGAATGAATGCTGAAACAGGATTTTCAGGCGCTTGGAGAAATTGACCAGATTCAGAACACTGCTTACACATAGTATGCTTCTTCCTACTCTACTGATTCTTTTAACAAGTTGTGTTCTCAGGCTCCCAAAAACCTGAATTCTCACTGTCCATGAAGCAGTAAGAGGGAAACGCATGGTGTTCACAGGTTCTCTGTGCTCCACTATTGTCTGACTTCTGAAAGTAAAACAACAGACTGCAATGTTCAGCCATCTGAAATTCCAGGGGAGTTTTAAACCGTGCTAGGAAGGGGAGGATTTTGAAACAGAACAGCATCTACCTGAAAGAGCTGCACCTTCAACGCACATCTGAACAGACGGCCAATAATTTACATAAACATGTCACGATTCCTGCAGTTAAAGAAACTCACGTCTTAGAGGTAGCTTTCTAGAATAGCTATGACTCTCGAGTACAAACTGTAATTTGCAACTTTAGTTCTTAAGTGACAGAAGGAGGAGCCAGCATCTCGGTCAAAGAATACAACTTCCATTTGCCCCTAAAAATTAAAAGGCGGTACCCAATTTGCAAAGGTCAGCCAGAAGCACTTTCCAATAGCACAGGCATCATATCTGAAACACATGCTAAGGAACTGGATTTGGCCTCTTTGTGCTGACAGGTGTAAAAAGCAATTTGAGGTCTACAGACCTGTCGAAGTTCAAGAAAAATGGAGTACACTGAAAATGGATTGAAAACATTAAAAAAAATCCTGTAAGCAGACACACATTTGTTGCAAATGCCTCCATGCATAAATGGCAGCTAAGCAGAATCCCTATGTTAACTGATACTGTTAACATCACACACAGAGCGATGGATACATTGTGTTCTGCAGACTTTATGCACCTCTTCTAGCAGCAACTAGTTTGTATATGGTAAAATAACTGGTACTGCCGGTATAGGAAGTAGAAGTTTTAAGTCAATTCTACACATACTTTGCATAAGCCAAGATTTTTCTATAAATATAAGCAGAGATATATCTGCATTGCATTCATAAGTGTGGCTGACAACCAAGGTAAACAAACAAAAATACACAGTTTTCATTTCTGCCAAACCTGTCCACTCTTACATACTTCTGAAAAAATTACTACAGAGCAAAAAGCAAAAATCCATTTTCTGCTGAAGCTCTATGACAAATGTGTCTTAGAATTGTAGGAACATGAACTCACCTGATAACAATATGACCAAGTCTACAAAATGTGTGGGTAATTTATCAGCCAAGTACCAGAGACTGATCATTAATCACTGCTGGCCACAAAGGCAGTGATTGACCTGGAACTATCGCTATCTCACCAAGCCAAAGCTGTTTAGAAACAAAATGTCTTGATCTTGTAATGGATAGGAACATCAGAGACTGTCACCAATACATTGTAACCAAGTTCACCTTCTTTCACCAGCATCTTCTGTACTCTGAACACAGCAAATACCACAATTGAAGTGAGCAGAAAACAAAGGAAACAAACACTGCGATGAACAGTGATAGTCTGCCCCACCAGAGTAAGTACGCTCTCCCATAAAGCATTTGGCTTGAGAGAAACATACGTATGAAATAGAAGAACCACCTGATGAACTGCTCAGAGAAATTATACATACTTTATGTGGAAATTATTTTCCTCTTAATTACTTGCAGTGTAGCAGCAGAAATAAGGTAGTTTTGCAGCCTCAGTATTTGACATTCAGAAAATGTCATCTCACGTAGCATTTTGTTAGAAAAGACAAGTTTTCCGATTGCCAACATAAACTAATATGCAACCATAAGGGAGTTTCAGTCTATTAAAGTCTGATTTTAAAACATTGCCAAATTAATACTTTATATATTCTATACTGGGAAAATAAGACTGCGTTTGCAAAAAGATTTTTTTTTTTCCCCCCTAATACGAAGTAGTTGTGGTAAAAGGTCGAATACGAGTAAACTTAACACCTCAGCCTTGTGCACATAAGCAACACTTGACTGAGAAAAAAGCCACAAGGGGAACAGAATACAGTACTGAAGAAAAAACACATCAGCAACACCTTTATGTGTGAAGTTGACCAGTATGAGACAGAAGCAAAAGCAGAAAATGGGTAGGCTGGAACCATAACATACTCTAGCTTATCAACTTCAATTGATGAGATTCTGATAAGATATGATAGCTAGTTTCTTTTTAAAATGGTACAACTGGAATCAACGGTTTGTGTTTGTAAGGTCTGTTATTGCATACACTGACTTGCCTTTCTTGGTCGCTGTTGGGTTTGTTTTCAGTTTTTGTAGAACCTTAGCTTGCATGTCAGTCACTAGACGCAAATTGGATATTTCTCTCTTCAGTTCCCAATATGCTTGTTGTGCACTTTCAAAACAAAAATTTTTTAAAAGTTAAATAATTGCTGCCTCCTAAAGCACCCTCATGCCTACTAACATGCTTATCAAGCATTAACTGTTAATAAATCGGTTTTGCCTGACATACACTGCAAATTTTGCTACAGTACCATAATTCAAAAATAACTGAGCAGTACTGATAATTTTCTTAAAATGATGGACCTTTGTATATTTTATTTGACTCTTGCATATTACAATATATAATGTATTATATATTGACATACTAGATGATACTAATAATTTCAAGTTCCCCAAGTGGAAAGAAAATGAAGCATATTCTCTAATTTCATTATTTGAAACTAACCATCTTCCCATAAAATTTGTAATCTTAAAGGAATAGTTTTAGAAAAATATATTAAATGGATATTAGATGGCAAAACAAGGTAGAGTATTAACTTTGAATGGCTTCTGATAAATGACCACACACACCATCATATATTATGACCCTAGCAATGTTAATTGATCATAACTTTACATATTCAATCAAACCCAGTATTTGGGTCTTTACACCATTCACTTGCTACAATGAATTCAGACTAGATACCCGAGATCCAAACTGAGCACCCACACAGAGACCAAACTAAAATATAAAACACACTGTTTCATATTCAAGTCATCTAATTCATGTTAATACACTGCCTTATCAGACAGTAAAAAATAGCAACCCAATTCATTCTCTGATAAGACAGCATAAAATGGGAAACATATTTAACAGCAGCACTGTTCCAATATTGAAGTTTCAGGTTATTAGCTGGTAAGAAAATCAAGGAAAAAAAAAAAATCAGAAAAGTCAGCATCACCATATGTTTCTTAGTAAAATTTTGAGCAAAGGCTTGCTTAACACCACATTTATGTTAGTAACTTAGTGTTCAAAGACATAAGGATGCAGTTACTTCAACTTAAACATGAAATCAATGATTTAATGGGTTTTTTAATGCTTAACATTCTACCAAAAAACATTTATTGAGGACAAGTATCATGGATGAGATTTTTCAGAATATTTCTTTCTTTCTCACTATATTCACCTCAAAGATGTTTATCTGAAAACAGTTCAGTACCTCAAACCATTGTTGAGATGACTAAGAATTATTAAGCTCTGTAACAACTGTATTTTCAAGCATGCATATATACAGATTTCTATCCCTCTAAAATCGCAATTTAGGATCACTGCTGCATGAAATTTGTCAGACATGAATGTGTTCAAAAGCACTGTGAAAAATAGCTATTATTCTGTTCTGCAAGTTAATGCTTAAAGAGTTCCCTTAAAAGAAAGAAGTTAAACCTTCTTCTATACACAGAAATATTTTCCCAGAATACAAAAATTCAGATTAAAAAACTCTGTAAAAGAACAGAGGAAGCTGTTAATAGGTAATCATTAGGTATCAGCAATTCTGACAGAGAAAAAGTTAAAATTTTCAGAACTGATATTTCAAGAAGTTCAGCTAAACCTGTGGCCTTTTTACTAGAGAATCCATTTGGCTCTTTTAAGACATGACAATTTTGAAATTAGGCTGATGTGGCAACCACACGTCATTTATTCACGTGTTTTGGTCTCAAAAATAAGATCAAACAAACTTGAGTTATATCAAAACAGAACTGTCCAATATTTAATACAGAAGTGGTAAATATAAGAACAGCTCAGTGTGTCTGCCACCAACCAGACGGAAAGTGCTTAGATAGATTTTATAACATGCATTTAGCGCTGTCCTGGTTTCATCTGGGATAGAGTTAATTTTCTTCCTAGTAGCTGGCATAGTGCTGTGTTTTGGATTTAGGATGAGAATAACGCTGATAGCAACCACTAAAACATCAGTGTGTTAAGTAGTGCTTACTCTAGTCAAGGACTTTTCAGCTTCTCATGTCCTACCAGCGAGAATGGAGGGAGCACAGCCAGGACAGCTGACCCAAACTGGCCAA